ACAGTTAAGATTCATAAGCGCATGGAATACGATCAATTCAGACGGGTCAGTACGTGAATCACCTAGGAATGCATGCGAATGCTAGCAAAAAGATAGTCCTCTGGCTTACGTTAACACTGTATAGCTATAAAGTGTTAACGTATGCCAGAGGACAATTCTCTCCAGCATTTGCATGCCTCCCCAAGTGATTCACGCATGACCCATCTGAATTGATCGTATTCCATGCGCTTATGAATCTTAACTGGGCGTTAATGTACAAACTCTTTGAAGGGAGCCAGGTATATTCACCCACTGATGGAACTAAGAGCAAAGACAATGGGGATAACATCTTCATCAGCGTGAGGGATATCCAAGATCCACATCAGCGTGCGTCCCAGGCAGGCAATGACCTTCATCGGATGTACAGGAACTAGCCATGAATTTACAACGCCATATATACAGGGGAACTTGAAGGGTAGGGGAGAGGGTAAAAGTATGGGGTTTACAAATAAATGAGGAAGAGTCTACAGAGAGTCGGCGATGGGGAGATCCGAAAAAGATTGCGCCGAAAAGGTAATCAATACTATCCTGGGGTTGAACAGGCTTTGGGGATGGTGATGTTGCCGCGTGGGATGTGGGGATAGGTTCCGGACCAGGTTATCATAACTCTCCTCCTTGGGACTGCACTTTTGCAAGGTGAGTTGTCTCTTCAACCTTGGGAACTACGCAAAAACAACGAATGCAGTCAAACCTATAATATCTCGGTAACCTTCACAGCCAAGTGCAAGTGAATAATGTTAGTTTAAGTGTTGGATCTATTGAATATGTTAGTTCTACCTGGGTTAATGTTCGTTCTAGTCGTTTCTGTGTTAGTTCTTGCCATTCTCGTGTGTTATGTTGGCCATGTTAGCACTACCTAACTGCTTGTTAGTTCTAGCTGCCCTCTTGTTAGTTCTATCCCTTCTCGAGTTAGTTCTACTGCGGGCTGGAGTTATTTCTAGCACAAGTGTTTGCTCTGGTGGCCATGTTAGCCCTACCCTCACGCTTGTTAGTTCTAGCTGCCCTCCTGTTAGTTCAATCCCTTCTCGAGTTAGTTCTACTGCGGGCTGGCGTTATTTCTATCACAAGTTTTTGCTCTGGTGGTTATGTTAGCCCTAGCTTACTTCTAGCTGTCCTCCTGTTAGTTCTATCCCTTCTCGAGTTAGTTCTACTGCGGGCTGGCGTTATTTCTATCATAAGTTTTTGCTCTGGTGGCTATGTTAGCCCTAGCTTACTTCTCATTTAACATGAAAATACTTACAACACACAACAACAACGTAGTTGTCTGTAAATGTACACGCAAAACAATTAACAACATATTAACAACATGAACATACTTACAACATTGAATACACAACAAAAACCTTGGAGAAAATTAAAATAATATTTACAAAAAAGGTGAATCGCGTGCATACAAAAGAGCAGCACAAAACCTTGCTCTATATTTTGCACAATCTCCTTTTGAAATTGTTATCGACCGTTTTTCGACAATGCTGTTAATGAATTCAATCATAAAGATCCCGCAATCTAACGTTCTGCATTTAAGGGAAAAATATTACAATATTGAAAATGACAATGAAACAAAAAAAATGAACAATTAAATTAGAAATGCATGAAACCTTACGGTCCTTGTTGTGGCACGGCAACTGACACAAGACCATGATGCTCCAATTTCCCCAATCCCCAATTACTCTCAATGAAACTCATAAACTTATTTATAAATTTCACAGCATCGGCGGTATAAATGGGGGAGTTGATTGAGGAGTAGTGATAGAATTTTGTCTCCTCTCTCACTAACTCTACCAGGTGCCAATGTCCGGAGCTGACAATCGGGATCAGAATTCTTTCACACTCCAAGAACTTCTGCTGAGAAACATTTTCCTTCATTCGTTTTGCCACCATTTCAAGATTTCCTTCTAGAAATGCTTGCTAAAAGATGCAATAATGTCAACATTGTGGGATAACATAATAATAATATCCACCAATTAGTGAAAAAAACAAGGATATACTTACTGCAAGCCAAGGTCTTGTGACATGTATCTTTCGATCATAACTATCAGTTGTTTCAATCTTGTTACAAAGCCGAATAACAAATGCATCGATCACCTACAAAAATTACCATGAATGAATAAAATAGTTAATATAAATTATTTTATATACAACATCAAACAATCAATAACACAATTGTTTAGAACCTACATCGTCACTGAGTTCACCTCCCGTTAATAGTATATAAGCATCTAAGCGAGATACGCTTGCTTCGGCACACTTCCAAATGTACGTATCACTATATGCAAGTACATTGTGAGAAAATTGCTACTAGAATTAAGTAAATTCAAAGATTATTATTAGAATAAGTCAGTAACAGTTACCTGTTCATTCTCGATTGTAGAAAGTCTTCAATTAATTTGTTCTCATAATCAAACGCCAGTGCCTTACCTGGATAGTCTCTAGATGTAGGTATGAAGCCTTCTTCATTTTTGTACTTTTTTTTCCCATCAGGACTATCCAATATCTGGATGACACGTCTCTTCTTTGTGCCTTCCTTTGGTTGATCTAGAGGCATATAAGGTGAAGTAACAGAGGGTCCATCCTTCCTCTCCCTCTTTCCGACAGCCCGTTTGATAGATGGCGTTTCTCTGTTATTCTCATTACCACCTTCATCTTTTTGAGAAACATCTCTATAGAGTCGAGAAGGCATATAATTAACAAAGAGTTACACAAGAATTATATGGAAAATATAAAAATTAAAATTGCAAGAAAATTTAAAAAACTAAACTCACCGAGCATCTTCTAAAATTCTCACGTCTCTTGCGCTCATCACAAAGTCATCACATAAATCGGCTTCCCCAGTTCCTTCCAAATTCTCATATTCCTTAGCTTCCATATCCTCTTTGATTTTTTTTCTTCAGTTACATTTCCGTCATCCTCTTTCTCCTTGGTTTTTTTTGGCATCTAGCACTACGCTCTTCTAATTCTCGTAATTCTGTAGTGAGCTCATTCAACTCGTACGTCTTCTCCGCAATTAAGAAAATTAATTCAGCTTTCCTTGATTCCTATTTGACCAAAAAAAGCTAGTATTAGTACGTATACTATAGTTGCAAACATAGATACTAACAAAAGGGACATAAAATAATGAACTATTAGAGCAACGATATGTACAAATACTATTGGCGATGCCGTATGAATAAGAGGAGTATTCTCTTGGCCATTATCCGTAACCAACTTCGGGACTCTATATAATTTGTTCATAGTAGTCCTCCTCCACTTTCCAGTACTCTTCACACAAAAGAGCGGCGGTAACCTTTCAATATCTGAAGTGTACTCTAATTCCCCTACTTTTTCATAAAACCAAACCTACAAAAAAGAAACTACACATTAGCATGTGCATAAACAATAATCATTATCAAAATGAAAAGATATACAAAATAATGTTCATGTAACTCACCAGTAAAACGGAGGAAAAACCACCCATGTACCCGGCATTTGAGCGCTGACCTAATTCCCGCATACTAAGAGACTTCTTTGATTTACTCATCTCTTTGCAAAGAAGAGTGAACACCGCATGGCACCAATTATATTTATGCAAAGTTGATAACTGCTCCGCATATCTAAACGCCCACAAGGGACATGTCTTACATGTCCGCGGGCATAATATGAAGCCGATAATGAAAGCCACAATAAGTTTCACACATATTATAGGGTCTTCATTAATCATATCTACAATCATCTCGGCCATTCTATCGCGCTTCCCCGAAATCACCGCCTTCTTTTCCTCATCGGCTTTCTTATAATTCTTTACAAAATAGGTGTAGATTGTATTAGCCGCTGCCCCACTCATTTTTATCGGAATTCCCTCCTTTGGCAATCCGGTAATTCGGTGAATATCATCTATACCGAACACACAATTTTTATTCCCAATCATGAATGAGCATTTATCAGGATTAAAATTTTGAATCAAGCAATCAATTGCTATTTGCTCATTGCTCAAGGATGTGGGTATATTGAGAAAGCTGTGAAAAGGTGTCGTCTGTAGGGCTTTTAGGTGTCTTTCATCTAATTTTATTCGCTTATCAATTAAATCTCGAAAATAACACAAATTGGCCGGAATTCTCAAGTGTGTTATCTTAGCCCTACAAGAAAATTATAATTCAGAAAGAGTTAAAAATTAAATATATTTGGGCAAATTAAGACGCATATTAACAAGTTTATTAACACAAACATTATACATCATGGCTTACAACAAAAATTATAATTCAGAAAGAGTTAAAAATTAAATATATCATGGCAAATTACTTACGAAGTTGGAGGATTATTGCATTTAGAAGAGGTAGGCTTTGATTTTGAAGAATTCGAAGACGTCGACTCTTTCAATTTGTTCGAAGCCATGAGGGCAGACGTCGAGGGCTTGGTCGAGCTCCGGAGGCGGCGATGAACCTGAGGGCTGAGCTCAAATGCCATCGGAGGCGTGGCTGATGACGAGGGGTGAGTTCGATGGCGAGGAGGAGTAGACGGCGCTGACCCGGCGGCGACGCTCAGCGGCGGCGATCTCGGGAGCTGGAGAGGAGGAGGGGAGGTGATGGCTAGGGCAAGGGGACGGCGGCGACGCTGAACGGGGACGTCGAGGGATTGGCCGAGCTTGGGCGGCGGCGCTTTCGGGCGGTGGTGAGGAGGAGGGGGTCGGTGATGGCGCGATCTGAGCGGGAAAGAAGAGAGAATATATATATATAAAGCTAGAAATGAGTTTAGAGAAAACTTCTCTAAAAAAATAAGAGAGAGAGAGAGATTGAGATTGAAGCCCAAACACGAAATAGATGATTTCTTCCTCTTGTGAAAACTTATTCACATAAACTCTTGTAAAAATACACTTTAAACACACTTAAACCCTTATAAACTTATTTTAAAACTTTTCTTGGATAGTTCAGAAGTTAGAGAGTAAGGGGTATATATAGGTTCATGAAACAAAGCCCAAAATCCAAGAAAATCCAAGCAAAAAAACAAAAAACACGAAAAATCAGGAAGCTGGAAAACTAGCCGTTACAGTGTCATCGGTCGGCTGATACTGTTCATCAGTCGACTGATGAACAAACCATTACAGACCGCTCATCCGTCATCGGTCGACTGATGATTTTCATCAGTCGACTGATAACGTGCACATTGTGATATTTGAACAATAAAAATTGATTTCAAATCCGTTTTAAAAATAGCAAATAAATTCAAAAAAATATAAAATTTAAGAAAATATTTATAAACATGTTAGAAAAGAAATTTTTAAAATATCATTTTCCATTTGTGAAAACTCCTCATTTTGCAAAAACTCATAAATACGTGTTTGTTTAAACACTTGGTTTTGTCATTTGACTTAAAGCAAGTTATGAAGTCTTTTTGAATCGATTTATAAACTTAATAAAAGATTTATATAAGGATTATTTTATCCATAAACCAAGAACACAATGTTTTCTCAAAAATACCTATATTTTGATAAAACCAAGAATGTGTGTGTGTAAAATTGAGCTTGAAGTATTTACACATAAAATATAACACCTAACCTAATATACCCAAGCTAAATGATCTCATAACGCTTGATCTTAGGCAATCTTCCTCTTCATAGTGTGGATGAAGCAATAGTGAATTTTGAACTTGAATTTGCATCGTGATTCATTCCATGTATACTTCTATCCTCCAATGAATATGATCGTTAAACTTAATCCAACTAACCTCTAACTTGGATCTTTATGTAGAATACCTAACAAGCAAACTCAAACACTCGACAAATGATGTTATGAATTATTTGTTAATCAGCAAAACTAGATTAGATAGTAGGCTTATAAACATAAGACCTAACACAGGATTCGAAAATTTTGCTAAAGCTAAGAAAAAGAAGCTTATTGGTCAATTGAGGCTAGTCTCTAATGTTGGCCTTCTTATTTTGATGATGTTTAACAAACAATTTATAACTAATGTTGTTTGTCTAGTGTTTGTGCATTCCTATGTTTTGTAGACAAACAACGTTGTTGGAGGATGGATGGAATAGCGCTTCAACGATGATATCAAATGGAGGTTGGCGGAATTGTGGAGTGAAGCAACATACAATTCAAGTTAAAGATCAAGTTCAAGCTTCATCCGCAAAGTTTACCAAGTCATGCTCATTGAAGACCTTTATCAATCTTGGGTATATTTAGTATAGGTTTATATTATGTGTGTTTAATACTCTAAGCTCAATAACATACACACACACATTTATTGGTTTCCATGTATATATATAGTTATATATATACATATATGTTTTGGTTTGATAGTTTTCAAGTTTTACTATGAAACAATTGAATACAATTGGAAAACACATTTTTGTTTCATACTTAATACATTTATATGATTTCATCAATATCAATTTTATTTAGTTCCATGAAATCATGTTTTAGTGTATTATATGTGTATTTTGATAAAATACTATATTCATTATTTATAGACTTCATAACAATAGTTTACATCTTCTATTAAGTCTATAAAATCATTTTGTATTGTTTCAAAACATGGTTTAGCTAAAATGTCAAAATTCACATGTTTACATTTTCGTGTTTTGGACTATCTTGTAAAATGATGATATTTTTTATTTGGGAAGTCCTTTTTCGAAACCAGTCATTGTAGCATGTTTATTATCATGTCTACAATCATTCCCCAAAGTTTTACATTTTTTGGAATTTATTTGATATTTTTAAACAGTGTTTTAAAATCAGCAAAACATGTTTTTTCATATGTCAGATTTCGGTCGACCGCACCGGTCGACCGATCATTTGTTCATTGCTCACTATGCGACAGAGAGTCTGTCGGTCGACCTGTCCGGTCGACCGAAAGCTCCATCGGTCGACCACACCGGTCGACCGACGAAGTCTCTGTTTGTTTCGTTGTTTTCAGATCTGCTCGCGATCGACCGGATTTTTTGTCGGTCAACCGAATTCTTTCCATCGGTCGACCGACGAGATTTCCGGTCGACTGACAAAAGAGCCGTTGGCTCCTAACGGTTATTTCTGAGCTGATCTGTCTGGGGCTTTTCTGTCTTTCTCTTTCAGATCTGCTCGCGATCGACCGGATTTTTTGTCGGTCAACCGAATTCTTTCCATCGGTCGACCGACGAGATTTCCGGTCGACTGACAAAAGAGCCGTTGGCTCCTAACGGTTATTTCTGAGCTGATCTGTTTAAAAGATTGGGTCTCCGTTTACAAAGGAGGAAGTTTTCACTGCAGATTGAGGGATTCATTCTCAATCCTCTTCATCCTCTTCTTTGTGTTTATAGAGAAGTTTCTAACTCTTTTCTCTAGCAATTTCGTTATTGATTTTCATATTCTTATTATTGCTAGTTTGCTATTTGAGTTAGATTTTATTTTACTCATTGTTACACACACCCACATTGAGCTTATTGTATCTTTCATACATAGTATAGTTGGGTGGTGAGAGATTGTAACCTTGAGTTGTGCTTTCATTGTGATTCACTTTGTAATACACTTGTACACTGAGTGAGGAGTGTGTGGTGAGAGTCGGGGATCGTCCCAAGAGGAGTGGCGTCGGTTGACGTGCCTAGGGAGAGGTTGTAACCGAGCACTTGAGGGAGACACGGCTAGGTCCAACACTTAGTGGGTGTAGAGTGTGATTGCAAGAGTGTGAGTTGTAAAGTTTTCGGTTAGCTAGAAAACCGAGTGTGAGGTGTAAACGTTATTCGGGTGAACGTAGAAAACCCGGTTGATAGTGGATTTCTCCCCGGGAGTGGGGAGCGGAGACGTAGGACGGAAGGTCCGAACTCCGTGATCATATTGCTTGTTTGAGTTTGTCTTTGGCGTAGTTGATTTTGCATTTATCTTATATCGCTAATTGTGCATTACTCATTTATTTCATCCACTATCTTGTTTAGATTATTTACCCTTGTGTTGTTTATATATCCTTGCATATATCTCATAGATATAGGATATATCTCATTGTTCATATTGCTTATCCTAGCATAGTTTTCAACAGTTTTACCTATGAAACAATTGAATACAATTGGAAAGCACATTTTGTTTCATACTTAATACATTTATAACTGATTTCATTCAATATCAATTTTTATTTTAGTTCCATGAAATCACTGTTTTAGTGTATTATATGTTTGTATTTTGATAAAACTATATTCATTATAGACTTCATAACAATAGTTTAATCTTCTATTAATGTCTATAAAATCATTTTGTATTGTTTCAAAATCATGTTTAGCTAAAATGTCAAAATTTCACAATGTTTACATTTTCGTGTTTTGGACTATCATTGTAAAATGATGATATTTTATTTGGGAAGTCTTTTCGAAACGCCAGTCATTGTAGCATGTTTACTTATCATGTCTAGCAATCATCCCAAAGTTTTACATTCTTTGGAATTTATTTGATATTTTTACACAGTGTTTTTAAAATCACCAAAACATGTTTTTTTCATATGTCAATTTCGTCGAACCGACACCGGTCACGACCGTCATGTTCATTGGTGACTAATGCGCGAGAGAGTCTTCGGTCGGACCTGTCGTCGACGAAAGCTCCATGCGGTCGACCAACCGGTCGACGACGAAGTCTCTGTTTGTTTCGTTGTTTTCAGATCTGCTCGCGTCCGCCGATTTTTGTCGGTCAACGAATTCGTTTCCATCGGTCGACCGAGCGAGATTCGGTCGACTGAAAAGAGGCCGTTGGCTCCTAACGCGGTTATTCTCTGAGCTGATCTGTCTGGGGCTTTTCTGTCTTTCTCGTTGGGGGTTTTTGGCTGAGTTTGAGAGCGGGGTAATAAATACCCAATTGCTAGATCTCTTTTTCAAGAGATGCAAGAAGAGTTGTTTAAACAAAAGTTTTTTACAAGGCAGGTTTAGGGTTTACTGTTTGTGTTTAAAAGATTGGGTCTCCGTTACAAAGGAGAAGTTTTCACTGCCAGATTAGGGATTCATTCTCAATCCTCTCCATCCTCTTCTTTGTGTTTATAGAGAAGTTTCAACTCTTGTTCTGCTAGGCAATTTCGTTAATTGATTTTATATATCTATTATTTGCTAGTTTGGATATTGAGTAGATTTTATTTACTCATTGTTACACACACCCTACATATGAGCTTATTGTTATCTTTCATACATAGTTCAGTGTTGGTTGTGAGAGATTTCGTACCTTTGAGTTGTCGCTTTCATTGTGATTCTCACTCATAATTGAGACAATCATTATTTCGTATTGAGCCTCTATTGTCGAGATTCACTTTTGTAATACACTTGACACTGAGTGAAGGAGTGTGTGGTGAGATCGGGGAATCGTCCCAAGAGGTAGTGGCGTCGCGTTGACGGCCTTAGCGATTGAGGTTGTTAACCGAGCACTTGAGGGAGACACGGCTAGGTCCAACACTTAGTGCGGTGGTTAGAGTGTGATTGCACAGAGTGTGAGTTGTAATAAGTTTTCGCGGTTAGCTAGAAAACCGAGTGTGTAGAAGAAGTTCCGGCTTATTCCAAACCGGATTGTCGTTAGTGGATTTCTCGCCAGGAGTGGGCAGCGGAGACGTAGAACGGAAGGTCCAACTCCTGATCATAAGTTGCTTTGTTGAGTTTGTCGTTTGTCTTATTTATTTTTGCAT